ATGTGGAGTAAAATAAAGGTTGGATGTGAAAAGTGGGTGATAGTAAGTGTATATGCACCTGGAGAAGAGAGAAGTGTAGAGGAGAGAGAGAGATTTTGGGAAATGTTGAGTGAATGCGTGGGGAGTTTTGAACCAAGTGTGAGAGTACTTGTGGTTGGGGATTTCTATGCTAAATTGGCTAAAAATGTTGTGGAGGGAGTAGTAAGTAAATTTGGGGTGCCAGGGGTAAATGTAAATGGGGAGCCTTTAATTGAGCTATGTGTAGAAAGAGATTTGGTAATAAGTAATACATAGTTTATGAAAAAGAGAAATAAATAAATATACAAGGTATGATGTAGCACGTAATGAAAGTAGTTAGTTAGATTATGTATTGGTGGATAAAAGGTTAATGGGTAGGCTCCAGGATGTACATGTTTATAGAGGGGCAACTGATATATCAGATCATTATTTAGTTGTAGCTACAGTTAGAGTAAGAGGTAGATGGGACAAGAGGAAGGTGGCAACAACAAGTAGGAGGGAAGTCAAAGTGTATAAACTAAGGGAGGAGGAAGTTCGGGTGAGATATAAGCGACTATTGGCAGAAAGGTGGGCTAGTGCAAAGATGAGTAGTGGGGGGGGGGGGGAGAGGTTGAAGAGGTTGGATGAGTTTTAAAAATGCAGTATTAGATGTGGGGCAGAAGTTTGTGGTTATAGGAGGTGGGGGCAAGAGGAAAGAGGAGTGATTGGTGGAATGATGAAGTAAAGGGTGTGATAAAAGAGAAAAAGTTAGCTTATGAGAGGTGAAGAGAGTGGTGAGAGAGTGCAAAAGGAGAGCAGATGATAGAGTGGGAGAGGCACTGCCAAGAAATTTTAATGAAAATAAGAAAAAATTTTGGAGTGAGTTAAACAAGTTAAGAAAGCCTAGGGAACGAATGGATTTGTCAGTTAAAAACAGTAGGAGAGTTAGCAGATGGGGAGAGGGAGGTATTAGGTAGATGGCGATAATATTTTGAGGAACTTTTAAATGTTGAGGAAGAAAGGGAGCGGTAATTTCTGCACTGGCCAGGGAGGTATACCATCTTTTAGGAGTGAAGAAGAGCAGAATGTAAGTATGGGGGAGGTACGTGAGGCATTATGTAGAATGAAAGGGGGTAAAGCAGCTGGAACTGATGGGATCATGACAGAAATGTTAAAAGCAGGGAGGGATATAGTGTTGGAGTGGTTGGTACTTTTGTTTAATAAATGTATGAAAGAGGAGAAGGTACCTAGGGATTGGCGGAGAGCATGTATAGTCCCTTTATATAAAGGGAAGGGGTACAAAAGAGATTGTAAAAATTATAGAGGAATAAGTTTACCGAGTATACCAGGAAAAGTGTACGGTAGGGTAATTATTGAAAGAATTAGAGATAAGACAGAATGTAGGATTGCAGATGAGCAAGGAGGTTTCAGAGTGGGTAGGGGATTTGTAGATCAAGTGTTTACATTGAAGCATATATGTGAACAGTATTTAGATAAAGGTAGGGAAGTTTTTATTGCATTTATGGATTTAGAAAAGGCATATGATAGTGGATAGGGGAGCAATGTGGCAGATGTTACAAGTATATGGAATAGGTAGTAAGTTACTAAATGCTGTAAAAAGTTTTTATGAGGATAGTGAGGCTCAGGTTAGGGTGTGTAGAAGAGAGGGAGATTACTTCCTGGTAAAAGTAGGTCTTAGACAGGGGTGGGATTAAATCATGGGGAATCAAATACAAAATGGGAATTGACACAATTACTTTTTGCTAATGATACTGTGCTTATGGGAGATTCTAAAGAAAAATTGCAAAGGTTAGTGGATGAGTTTGAGTGTGTGTAAAGGTAGAAAGTTGAAAGTGAACATAGAAAAGAGTAAGGAGATGAGAGTATCAAATGATTTAGATAAAGAAAAATTGGATATCAAATTGGGGAGGAGGAGTATGGAAGAAGTGAATGTTTTCAGATACTTGGTAGTTGACGTGTCGGCAGATGGATTTATGAAGGATGAGGTTAATCAAAGAATTGATGAGGGAAAAATGTGAGTGGTGCATTGAGGAATATGTGGAGTCAAAAAATGTTATCTATGGAGGCAAAGAAGGGAATGTATGAAAGTATAGTAGTACCAACACTCTTACATAGGTGTGAAGCTTGGGTTGTGAATGCAGCAGCGAGGAGGCGGTTGGAGGCAGTGGAGATGTCCTATCTAAGGACAATGTGTGGTGTAAATATTATGCAGAAAATTCGGAGTGTGGAAATTAGGAGGTGTGGAGTTAATAAAAGTATTAGTCAGAGGGCTGAAGAGGGGTTGTTGAGGTGGTTTGGTCATTTAGAGAGAATGGATCAAAGTAGAATGACATGGAGAGCGTATAAATCTGTAGGAGAAGGAAGGCGGGGTAGGGGTCATCCTCGAAAAGGTTGGAAGGAAGGGGTAAGGGAGGTTTTGTGGGCGAGGGGCTTGAACTTCCAGCAGGTGTGTGTGAGCGCGTTCGATAGGAGTGAATGGAGACGAATGGTATTTGGGACCTGACAATCTGTTGGAGTGTGAGCAGGGTAATATTTAGTGAAGGGATTCAGGGAAACCGGTTACTTTTATATAGCCGGACTTGAATCCTGGAAATGGGAAGTACAATGCCTGCACTCTAAAGGAGGAGTTCGGGATATTAGCAGTTTGGAGGGATATGTTGTGTATCTTTATACGTATATGCTTCTAAACTGTTGTGTTCTGAGCACCTCTGCAAAAACAGTGATTATGTGTGAGTGAGGTGAATGTGTTGAATGATGATGAAAGTATTTTCTTTTTGGGGATTTTCTTTCATTTTGGGTCACCCTGCCTCGGTGGGAGACGGCCAACTTGTTGAAAAAAAAAAAATAATAATATATGCTTGTACATGTATGTGCAGTGTGACCTAAGTGTAAGAAGAAGTAGCAAGACATACCTGAAATCTTGCATGTCTATAAGACAGAAAAAAGATACCAGCAATCTTACCATCATGTAAAACAATTACAGGTTTTCGTTTTACACTCACTTGGCAGGACAGTAGTACCTCCCTGGGCGGTTGCTGTCTACCAACCTACTACCTAGGTCAAGGGATGAACATGGGGAATATATAATAGCTAAATTCAAATAAAAAACCCGACAAAAACCTCTCACAGTGATAAACATCTACAGAGTACCACAGTCAAACATTAGCCGTTTTAGTGAAAACCTAGGATGTATGATAACTGATGCACGCATGAATAAAGATCACTCACTATTCTTAGGTGACTTCAATAAAAATCTCCTGCAAGACCAGGACCCACACATTACTGAATTCACAAACATTGAGTAACTGCTTGTTGCTACCAACAGTAACAAAACCTGCAAGAATTACAGAGACTAGTGTTTCCCTACTAGACCACATCTGGACCAACACCATATCCCCTTTAAAATCAGGCATAATCACAGATAATACCACAGACCACTACCTCACTGGCAACTACCCGAACACACTGTTCCTAGCTCCAACTAACCCAACAGAAGTCTCCCTTATTATTTTATTATTATTTTTTATTATTATCCCACTGGCCGATTCCTACCAAGGCAGGGTGGCCCGAAAAAGAAAAACTTTCACCATCATTCACTCCATCACTGTCTTGCCAGAAGGGTGCTTTACACTACAGTTTTTAAACTGCAACATTAACACCCCTCCTTCAGAGTGCAGGCACTGTACTTATTATCAACGCACTAAAAAACAAAACAGGAGTTTTAAATACCTTACCACCCTTTATATACTAAAAAGCGTCACAAGTACTATCACCAATCATTGCAACACTCTTCAACAAATCCATCGAATCCTCTACCTTCCCTACAGTTCTCAAAATAGTGAGGGTCACCCCGATCCATAAAGGAGGAGACCAAACAGACTTGAATAACTATAGGCCAATATCCAACTTACACCCTCTCTCTAAAATCTTCGAAAAATTAATTCATAAGCGAATCTATTCTTACCTCATCTCCCACAACAAACTCAACCCCTGTCAGTTTGGGTTCAGGCCTAATAAAAATACTAATGATGCTACTATACACATGCTAAAACAAATATACACTGCACTAGAGAAAAAAGAAGTCCCACTCGAGATCTTCATTGATTTACGTAAAGCTTTTGATACAACTGACCATGACTTGCTCCACAAAAAATTGTCGCACTATGGTATAAGAGGGCACTCCCTCAGCTACCTAAAGTCATACCTCAGCAACAGAAGCCAATATGTGTACACAAATGGAGCAAACTCTTCCGCACAGCCAATTACAGTTGGTGTCCCACAGGGAAGTGTCCTTGGCCCTCTTCTCTTTCTCGTTTACATAAATGACCTACCAAATGCATCGCAACACTCAAACCCACACTATTTGCAGATGACACTACATATGTCTTCTCTCATCCAAGCCCAGTCATGCTAGCCAATACTGTGAATACCGAATTACAGAAAATATCTACCTGGATAAGGACTAACAAACTTACTCTCAACACTGACAAAACCTACTTCATTCAGTTTGGTAACAGAGCTACAAATGTCCCTCTTAACATAATGATAAACGGATCACCTATCACAAAGCTCACAGAGGGAAAATTCTTAGGAATCCACCTTGATAATAGACTCAAATTTCAAACACATATACAACAAATTTCTAAGAAAATTTCCAAGACCGTAGGCATACTATCGAAGATACGGTACTATGTTCCACAGTCAGCCCTCCTGGCCCTATATCACTCACTTATTTACCCTATCTCACCTATGGAATTTGTGCATGGGGCTCAACAACAATAAATAATCTCAGACCATTAATTACCCAACAAAAGGCTGCAGTCAGAATGATAAATTCCCACTACAGGCAGCACATTCCACCAATATTCAAAACTCTAAACCTACTCACCATACAAAACATCCATACTTATTATTGTACCTACTACATACATAGAACACTTAACTCGGATATAAACCCTCCCCTCAAACGTCTCCTTACCAACCTCAACAGAACACATGACCATAACACAAGGCACATATCACTCTTTGATGTTCCTCGTGTCCATCTCACACTATGCAAAAACTCAATGCACATAAAAGGCCCAAAAATCTGGAATTCATTACCTGTGAATATAAAAGAAACACTGTTGGTTTATAAATTCAAGTCTCTACTTAAAAATCACTTACTCACCCACAACTAAATAAATACTGAATAATTGTATCTCATAAATGTTTAACATGTGACCCAATCAAACTTTGTTGTTTTTAATTACATTACCTAACAGAATACTCCATTCTGCTGAATGTTCAGTAACACAGTAAATGAACATATGACCTGTCTTTGAAATACTCATTTGTGCTTAATTGTTATCTGTTTACAATAATGTTTACCACTGAATATATCATTGCTTAGTTTAATCTTAAGTTAATTTTAAGCCTGCCCATAATGCTCTGCATACAAGGGGCTTCGGCATGTTACACTTAACCACTGTATTTTTTGTACTTCAAAGTATCATGTTCAAATAAATAAATAAATAAATACATAAATTGTGTGGATATCTTTTACAGATATTTTGCATAGTAATTTTATCCCAGGATTCAACTCTCAACAATTGACTAATGCCAGGTACCTACTTTTACTGCTAGGTGAACAAAGGGATATAAAAGGGCAAATGTGGATTTATAAAACTGCCACAAAAGCATAACAAAATATGTTATATAAGCCACAGGTACAGCAGACTTGCTTAATAATGCAATGCCACAGAGAAAAAAAATATATAAACTACAGTGAGACAAGACACCTAGAATATCTTAAAAATTAATTAAAGCAGAGAGTGAACACTAAATGAAATAATAAAAATGATACTTGTTTAGTGAAAAAAATTACTTTCAGGTCAGAACTATATATAAAGCACAATCTTGTATATATTTTAGACTACCTACTTACTGACATACCTGATGGTTTTGAGGGTCATAGCCTCACATGGCCCAGTCCTGGACCAAGCCTTCTGGTTGAGAGCTTGACTGGTCATGCTATTTTTGCTAGTAGCACCCAGTCCAATATAAACACCACAGCCCAAGTGATCAAGAACTGCCTGGAGGAACCTGTCAAGCTCCCTCCTGAAGACAATTAGAGATCTGTTGGGAATTTTTCTTATATATGAAGGGAGGGTGTTGGAAAGTCTTGGATTCTTTACCCTTCTTGAGTTAGCTCAGGAAGCAATTTTGAAATCTGTACTCGGACTTATCCATTTTTTTTTTTCGTGCAGACATCACACCTCTGATGAATATTCCAATTTTGGCCAAACATACTCAGTGAGCACTTTTATTAGGTACAACCTTCTAGTAGTTATAGGTAGGGTCCCACCCCCATCCCCCTTTGCCTCCAGAATAGTTGGAATTCTTTGTGGCATGGATTCAACAAGGTGCTGGAAACATTCCTTAAGAGATACTGGTCCATATTGACATGACAGCATTAAGGAATTCCTGCAAATTTGTCGGCTGCACATTCATGCTGCATATCTCCTGTTCTACCAAATTCCAAACATTTATGCCAAATTCTGACTCTACCATCTGGATGTCACAGCAGAAATCACAATTCGTCAGACCAGGCAACATTTTTTTCAATCTTCAACTGTCCAGTTTTGGTGAGTCTGTGCCCAATGTGGCCTTAGTTTCCTGTTCTTAGATGACAGGAGTGGAACCTGGTATGATCTGCTGCTGTATCCCATCCACTTCAAGGCTTAATGTGTTGTGAGTTCAGAGATGCTCTTCTGCATACCACTGTTACTGACTCGCAAAATCTTGAGTCAGTCTGGAGTTTTAAGATTCTCTGATCGCGGGTTCTATCCTCACCCATGGTATGGTGTATGGTTTATACCACTGTTGTATGTAACATGTGGTTATTTGAGTTACTGTCAATTCCTGTCAGCTTGAACCAGTCTGGCTATTCTCTAACCTTTCTCATTATCAAGGCATTTTATCCCACAGAACTGCTGCTCACTGACTGTTTTATGTTTTTCACAACATTCTCTATAATCTCTAGAGAATGTTGTGCATAAAAATCCCAGGAGATAAGCAATTTGAGATATTCAAACCACCCTGTACGGCACCAACAATCATTCCATGGTCAAAGTCACTTAAAACACATTTCTTCCCCACTCTGATGTTTAATCTGAGCAACAATTGAATCTCATGACCATGTATGCATGGCCACTTGATTACCTGATTAGATACTGAATTTGCATAAATGAGCAGGTGTACAGGTGAGCCTAATAGTGGCCACTAAGTCTATACAGGCAGGCCCCACTTTACAGCGTTTCACTAATAAAGCAGTTTTCACTTATACCCATTCTTCATTTATTCAGACTTCCTACACTAAATATATTCACCACTCACTATAAGCTAATGACAAAAATATTTTAAGGTATGTAATGTATTTACTGTATATGCATTTTTTAGACCTAGCTATATTTTCACTTAATATATGATAGTGTAAACCTGTTATCAGGCTTTGATATGCATTTGAATGTGAAAAAAATAAAGGCTGTGCTTCACTTTACAGCAATTTTAATTTTACAGTACCCGGCCAGAAGCTAACCTACCGGCCCTCCTGTACTCTGAACAATTTTAGAACATTTCTCCACCTATATATCTGAAGGACATCTTGAAGTTTTCCAGCAAAGCATACCAGTTTTTCACTCAATTATGCAATCTTCTGGTGATAATCTTTTTCTCTATAATTATTCCTGGATCATTTTCTCATTCTAATGCCTTCACTATTTTATCATAATTTATAACCTTCACATAACCTGTTTTTGCCTTCTTCCAATTCCATTACATGCCATTTACTAACAATAAGTTTAATTACCCAGCTTGTGTAGCTCTCCATTTAAATAATATATCCAAGTTCATTTCTAGGATTTGGTTATTTTTATTACTTGTATGGTATAGGATTTTCACATTATCTGTAATTTTTTTATTTTCTTCAACAAACTGGCCATATTCCACTGAGGTAGGGTGACCTAAAAAGAACAACGCAAGTTTCTCTCTTAACCCATAAACTGTCTAAATGTAGATCTATGTTCACTTGTGCAGTGCTCCAAATATTTTTGGGGAAAAAAAAAAAAAAAAAAGTGCATTTTTATAACTGTTATAGGAGGAAAAAAATTTAGGGCCAGTACTTACCGAGAGATAAGCCCGTGAAGCTGGTAATGGATGCTCACCTGACAGCAACATCGAGTCCTGCCGCTTACAGAAGTGTTGCCGATATACCTTTTTTTTCTCATTTTTATTTCAATTTATATAATTTTTATGTTCTGATAATTACAATTTATAATAGTTCTTGTGGTTTCATAGCCAATCATTGTTCTGACACTTATTAGGTACCGAAACAGTACTCAGTCACCATCAGTCTGACAGGTGAACATTTTCACCTGCCTTGGTCATTTACTATTGTCTAGAAATATATACGAAGTATTTATAGGTCCCTGCAGTGTTTTAGACATGCTGGAGTATACATGAAACTCCCTGAAGCGTAGTGTTATGACAAGTGTCAGTAAACTGCTGACAGTCCAGTGACACTTGATAAATGTGCACTGCTCCAGGGATCCCTGGCTTCATTTGTTTTCACTGTTACACATAAACATGTCTGTCTGTCTAGCTCTACTCATCTGTCTTTCTGTCTGCCTGGAGTATACTGTATATGAAACTCCTTGAAGAACGGCATTATGACAAATGTCAGTATACTGCTGACAGCCCAGTGACACTTGGTGAATGTGCGCCGCTTCCGGAAGCCCTCGCTTTATTTGTTTTCACTGGTACACACAAACATGTCTGTTTGTCTGTCTGTGTCTAGCTCTGCTTATTTGTCTGTCTGCCTGTGGGTGTCTGTCTTTCCATTTGCTTGTCTCTCTGTCTCAGGGAGCGGCTTGTAAACCTGTTGGTTTTTGGTTTACAGTCACTCCCTGATTGCTGAGCAAGTGAAAATGCGTATTATGTACTTGCATCATGTTTATTATGTCTTATATCTACAAGCACTGTATAGCACTTTGCCTGGAATTTTTGGGTTATCCAAGGTAATTTACACTCTATAATAACTGTACTTATGTGTACATGTGAGAAACAGAGATAGACAGAGATACAGAGATATAGACAGACAGCTACAGACAGAGACACAGCCAAAGCCAGCCAGCTGCCCAGCCTGCTGAATACATAAGAACATAAGACAGAAGGAACACTGCAACAGGCCTACTAGCCCATGCAAGGCAGGTCCATGTCACTCTCCAGTTTAAACCAATGACCCACCTAGTCAGGTCACATCAACTGAAGGTAGGAGCATGGCATCAGACCTAGTAGCACAAGGTAGCCAGGTCCAACTCACACCCACCCACACCCACTCATTTATTTATCTAACCTATTTTTACTTTCCACTTCAAAGGGGAGTGTTAATGCGACATGACATCAGTGAATCCCTGGTGTTTGCCATGTTATTTGCTCTAGCTGGCGCTCAATGGAACTGGTGCTCCTACAAGGTACTAAGTGGTCCCAGATATTTTTAATACTGCGCACACAGAGTGTTAAGACCTATTCTCTCGTATTAGGCGACTCAGTCCTATTGCCTCATTTTTGAAGGAATGAGAAATAAAAAGTTGATCTACGTTCGGAGCGCTACACGCGCAAACATATACAGTGGACCCCCGCATACCGCACGCATCGCATAGCGTACAATCCGCATACCGCTCGCTTTTATCGCAAAAATTTTGCCTCGCATACCGCCCAAAAACCCGCTCACCGCTCTTCGTCCGAGACGCGTCCAATGTGCGGCCTGAGCCATGCTCACATGTTCCGCCAGTGGCATTGTTTACCAGCCAGCCTCCGCGGTAACATCCAAGCATACAATCGGAACATTTCGTATTATTACAGTGTTTTTGGTGATTTTTTCTGGAAAATAAGTGACCATGGGCCCCAAGAAAGCTTCTAGTGCCAACCCTACAGCAATAAGGGTGAGAATTACTATAGAGATGAAGAAAAAGATCATTGATAAGTATGAAAGTGGAGTGCGTGTCTCCGAGCTGGCCAGGTTGTATAATAAACCCCAATCAACCATCGCTACTA